CTGTTCATCTGAATTACCTAGTAAGAGTTGTGTTATTTTCTCTAAAGGTAACTTGTACGAAGGTTAGTGTTGTTTCGTTCTTGGTAATGATTAACATTAATACAGAGAGAATTGAGAATTAGATATTTATTTGTTATCCTAATTACTTGAAAAGCTTCCTGAAACTTTGTAGTTTAACTACAAAACAGGTCTAGCTTTGTCATGAACACACACCTATCTGATAACATATTGGAACATAAACCTAATTGTTTATAGTAATTTTCTTTTTGGATAACGTATTCTTGTACAAAGTGTTTTATCAAATTTATTGATTGAGATCATGAACCAATTGAAGTTAGACCATCACAATTGAAAACCTGGAAGCGCTGGACGGCCGTTTCGTCTTATTGTGGGACTTCTCAGCAGTGCGTATCCACGATCCCGCGAGCGGTATTTGAACCCAGGGCCTTCGTTCTCGCGCGCGAACGCTTAACCAACTGGACCACTGAGCCGGCATCCAATGGTGATAGTTTCTAACATCAACCAATCCACGAAATTGCGCGACCAACTTCCATTGTACTGAGGTAGATAACTGTCTCTACCCGACAAGGATTAGCTCCACTGGTCACGGCTTCTCACTAGAACTCCGCGAATTCCCTCACCAAGCTACTCACTAGTGAGCACATGTTGATTACTAGTATAGGAGTTGTGGAGATTATTAAGTTTTTGATTGAGATCATGAACCAATTGATGAGGAATCCCACAAAAGGACGAAACGGCCGTCCAGTGCTTCCAGGTTTTCAATTGTGATGGTCTAACATCAATTGGTTCATGATCTCAATCAAAAACTTAATAATCTCCACAACTTTTATACTAGTTATCAAATTTACTCGTTTTATACAAACTCTAGTTTATGCTATAAAGGATTCACATGAGTCAAACGTGAAATATAGTATTAGTACAATTCAATAATCTTCGTAGACCATTTTTGGCTGAGTGATTTGCAGTAACTGATAGGAAGCACTAAATTTAGATTTCATGCTAGTTAACACTTATTACCGTGACTTAGCCTCAGTTTCAAGAAATGTCAGTATAGCTGCATGAATTGAAACCTAGTCAAAACTCAAATCGCCCTGGTTATGACGGTGCGTGAAATATTTGAAAACTTATTGACTTCGGAAAAATTCGGTCAAACAACAAATTGTACTATTTCTAGTAACAAATTCTCGGTTAATTTGTATATTCTAGAATTTTTAAACATTTACTTCGATCAATACTTATCAACAGGAATGATATTATGATTTAAGTAGATCTTTTAAAGATTTGATTAGAAAATTAAACATTATTAAATGGAATCTAAGTGTTCATATGGCATGTAAACATTCAAAATATATCCATGTTTGATACATAAATAACAATAATGTACATTATTATATAATCTTAATTAGGCATAATCTAGCTGTGGAGTTCACAATGATCAAACAAATTCCCAAAACAACATTAATTATAAACAATTCATAAATCAATATGAAAGAGATATCGTAGAATAAATCAAAGAAATATTCTTTGATTTGTCACGTCAATACTGGAAGTGATCTATTTTTAGGTTTTTGGTAGCTCTAAGTCAAAGGGAAAAATTAATATTTATTGATCTATTTAAAACAACTTGTGTGTTCACTTTAACTATTTTTAGTGCCAAAGGTAATGTGAAAGTCAATTCCTTTTTTTATATTGTAGTTTTTATTCATTTATTTTTAAGGAATATCATAGTAGGAACTAAATAATTGATCGGTTGTTCACACTGTATGTTCGAATGTCAATCTTCATGCTTTCGGTTATAATGTTGTACAACTGGTGCTTAGAATGTTTTACTAAACAGAAGTTTACATTGTTGAACAAAACTGTTATTATTACTAATACTTAATTAATGGTTTTACAAATTTTTCATATTTTTTATTTAATTAACTCCACTCCATATATATAACATTTATTCATACACTTTTGATTACGTAATCTTAATGATCCTTATTTTAATATCCATTTTCCAACCTTTGACATATTTCCCAGGTTAAAAACACGATCCATAGTCTTATGAATTTTTCTATTCCTGTCACGATTATCACATGTACCAACTTACATTGGTTTTAATCTTTTACTGATAATATTCAAAAATGAAGAATATTTAAGTAAACAATTGTTTTATCATCATGCTTTTCAGTTATACAGTCATAATTTTGATATTTTACAAAGGAAAATAAGGTATGTATCAATGCATTTGAAGATGTTATATGTTAACAATGGTGAACGTTTGTATCTATTATGACATATATACATCACAATAGCGTCATTTGTAAAACACATATCTCTCAACTTTATGACCTACCGAAGATTTCTAAACCTGAGATTCCTTTGAGACACAGCTTCTTTGTTCATTAACATCCCACTGACTGAAACTATAGATTACATATGTAAACAGTTGTTAGAAAAGAAAATAGAGATACCGATTCAAATGACGAAAATAAAGGAGCTTCTATTGAAATATAGTATGAATTACTACTTTGTGCTTAACAAAATATTTTACAGACAAATAGTTGGAGTAACAATAGGATCACCCCGAGGCCTAATAATTGCTCAGATTTTCCTTGCCAAACTAGAAAACAAACCGTTGAAAGACATCTTGAATAAGTTAGATTACTACTGCTGATACAAAGACGACACTAATTTTATGTGACGAAAATATAGAAAAACAAGAGCTGTTGAACTGTTTAAATAACATCCACCCAGCCATTAAACTCACCGGAGAAGAAAAGAAAGACAATAGTGTAGTTTTATTTGATGTCCTACTTTCTAGAGAGGATAGACGGTTCCATATAAATAAATATGTTTATAGAGAGTAGCTGTTTCCATAGCTTTGCACCTCTTCAATACGAAATAAATTTAGTCAAATGTCTCGGACAGAATCAAACTATCATGTTCTGAAGATAGTGTAGATAGCGAAATAGATAAACTACAGAACGTTTTACGAAATAGTGACCATCCAGATGATTTAGTCAAAATGGTCATCACGAGAACACTCTATCTAAACTGGATATTAAAGGACACATAGCAGGTGATAACTTTTATTCGTTGAATGAGAACATATGCTTAAAGGATATTTCACACCGTTAAGTTACATGTACTCTCAACCAGGATGTTAACGACGATGGTCTCCTCCATGTATGTATACCAATTTAAATGCTCCTGTGGAGCTAGTTACATAGGCCGTACTCAGATGGATTTATCCTTGATTGCTGGTAATAATGTGTCAGCATGTTTGAGAAAAGGATTCATTAAATCGATTAACAGTACCATTCTTCCTTACTTTGTAGATATAAAAATCATATTAAAATACAATAAGCTTTCTCTGTTTTATATCAAGTTCCAAAAAACCTATCTAAGAGAGCAAGAAAACGGTTACTCTACATACATGAAGCCATCTGGATTATCTCTAGAAAACCGAACTTATGTATCCAGAGGAGCCAGATCCAGTCCCGGTATACACTTTAGCCTACGACTGTATTACAGGATACCTAATCTAGATATTATAAACCTCTTACTCCCCTACCACGTTTTGATTACATTTTTTAATCTTCATAGCCATCTTCCCGAATTCATATGAATACTTTTTTAGTGTAATTACCCTCATAATCCCCCTTTTATTACATATCATATTCACACAACGTTATGATTATTATTATCGCCATTGACTAGACGAAATCCACCCATTATAAATTTTATTCACACGGTTTATTATATTACTTTAAAATTGATCATAACAACAGATATATCAATTCATGCGTCTCAGCGATTAGTGACTTAATTACATACCTCACAATTTCATGATATTGATGGAAAAAAGTAGTATCAGTAGCATATTTAATATTAGAATATTTTTTCGAGCCATAAACCATATATTAATCAGTAAAATGACTGACAAATTGGTTGAGGATCGATCAAACGAATTATTAATGTAGTTTATGCAATACTTAAATGAGTACTTTAACTGGGTTTTAATTATCATCAGTTCCATTACATCGAATTATAATGTGTATAAATCACATTTTTAGCAGAATTATATTTTTGTTGTATTATATACTTACAAATTATCTTTTAGAAACTTAATTCATGTCAAGGAAGTAACATAATTGTAGTAGTAAAACATTAATAAAAAACATTCGCACTTCTTCTAGCTTCAGTAAAGTTTTTTCCTGATACATTTTTAGGATTTCATATACGTTCACCACAGGGATAGGTCATTTGGAATCAAAATCCCAAGTTCCGGTTTCATCAGTCAGTCGGTCAGCTACAAAGTAAGACCAGAACCTCGTTTATTCGTATAAAACTTAAAATGTATTGCTATTTAATACGTACCGTAAAGAGATCTCTGAATAGAGTACCTTTGTTTAGCGCTTAACATGTTTAGAATCGACACAACAAAATGTTCAAAAATATCAGATACTAAGTTTATATGATTTATTGATAGTTGATAGTCAATTCAATTAACATTTAAATATATTTGTATACATATTTTATATAAATTTATAGGATAGAATTTACTATCTGATCAAGAGCCTTAATATCTAAGGAATCCTATTCAAATAAATGAAATTTTTTCTACAATGGAAGATATTCTTCTTCAAAAGTACATCAATCACATATAGATTTCAGCAATTTAAAAATCTCCATAGAATATTCAAAAATGAATATTTGAGCGAACAATTTCTTTTCAATAACTTCATCATCAGGTCCTACAGTTATAAGTTCATAATTATGATATTTTACAAAGGCCAAAAATAAAGCATATATTAATGAATTCTACAATGTTATGAGTTAAAAATGGTATACGTTTGCATCTGTTATGGTATATATATATACTTCAAAAAATTGTAATATTTGCAAATTAGAAAGGTCATTCAATAAAGGTCAGAATGGTTTGGAGTAAAGTGTCCAGTCACAATAAGTAGAATAGTATTATAGCAAAAATGAAAATGCCAAAAAAAGTGAGTTTCATTTTGTCAATTGTGATAATAATAATAATATTGTTGTATGAATATAATATATAATAAGAGGAGTGTTATCAAGGTACTTGCGATAAACAAATTGAGAATGATGGATGTGAAGATTAAGATAGAGGTAATCAAAAAGAAGAAAGAGGTAAGATGTTTATAATATTCAGTTTATGTATCCGGTGATCCAGTCGTGGGCCAAGGTAAACATAGAGGTTGGATATACCTTTCCTGGATACATAAGTTTTGTTTTCTGGAGTTGATCCAGATGGCTACAGCTATGTAGAGCAACCGTAATCTAGGTGCTTGAGGTAGATATTTTGGAACTTGATATAAAACAGAGATAGCTTCCCCTATTTTGATATGATGTTCACTATCTACCAAGTAATAAAGAATAGTGCTGTTAATCGATTTAGTAACTCCTTTTCCCAACCATGCTGATACATGTTAACGCACACGCTATGATAAATTCCTCTGAGTATGGCCTATGTAACTAGCTTCACAGGAGCATTTGAATTGTTATACACATATGGAGGAGCCCATCTTCAGTAACTTATCCTTAATTAATTGTGTGAGTACATATAAATTTTACTATCGTCCTAACTACAAATTTTATACAATTTATAACCATTTTTATTATTGAGTAAAATTGTTGATATAGTTCAACTAAGCATTTAAATTGTTAATTCTACATTGTTTTACATTTTTTTCCAAAAAAAAATAGCACAAAAGAATAAGAATCTTGTTCATGATTATTTTATGCATGAATTACACCATAGCAACAGAAAAGAATTTCTCATTTATGAAAAAAAAGAAAAGAATAAAAGAAATATAACTGAATAAGTTAAATAACTTATATCATTACCCACTTAAACATCATATATATATGTTTTATTGATTCAAAGGTATGTAACTTTTAACGCACATTCATAAGACCATGGATATTGTTTTCTTGTTTTGTTTTTATTTTGGTTTTAACTTTTAAGATTATCATCTTTTTTCTGGCTTTTAGTTTATAAGAAATAGAATGTAGGAAAAAAAACAACAAACGAATTACGTAATATGATCAGAATTTGCTTTAATGAACCAACAACAACAAAAACCAAAAAAACTATTGACTATCATCAATCACAAGTGTAATATCACATAGTTGTTCGTTTAATTACTTAGTTCTATGAAATTACTTTCTATGTACCTAAACATACAATAAGATATGTTATGGATGATTTTCATAATTCTCTCTCTCTCTCTCGTTCTCTCTCACTTTTTCTCTTGATGTCTGCCTAACATTAACTCTTATTTTATTTAAAGTAAATAGACTGGTGCATATAATCTAAGGTTTTTTCCATTGGTTCTTTTAAAAGACAGTTTCGCAGATTTATATTAATACAAACGATAAACAGTTCTTATGTTTATTGTTATGTATATAATATATGTGTATGCACTACTCATGTCTTTATCAGTGTTCTTTCAGCATCCAATATATATACATAGATGTACTTTAAAGTCTGTGGTTGTTTATATGTATACATATATATAATATATGTGCTTATGTATTGACAGATTCAATGTCAGTTAGTTTGTTATGCTTTATATGTTTACCAAATCAAGTTTCTGTTCGTTCATTTTTTTTATCGAATAAAATTTTATTTTGATGTAGGACAGGAAAGTAAACGTGAATAAATATTTTCCATGAAAACAAAATAATAATAAACTTAAATATATAACATAAACGATTATAGTAATAGTGGTAGTTGTAGAAGATATTGAAGAATCTTTAAAAATGGATTATATCAATATTGAATTATTTACCATTTTTTTTAACAAATGATGCCAACTATTGAACATTATAATGAAGATGAATGAAAATGGATCTTATTTATTATAGTAAAATTAAATTAATATACAGTTTAATAATTTCATAATACTACTCATCATTTCTAATCATTAGTAGTATATGTTTTACATTAAAATAATTAAATATATTTTGATTATTATACAGAATTAAATTATACATTATACATAATAAATTAATATATGTACTTAAGACCATTAGATATTTATTTTATTATTATTATTATTACATACCGAAATATTCGATTATATAAATTATCACAGACCAAATTTTTAAACTCAAATATTTACGTAGTGGGTCAGCTGCTAGGCTTGCTGGTTGGGAACAAATCAGTACGAGTGAAGAAGATTTAGAAGAAGGTAAAAATAAGAAAAATAATGAATTTCATCCAAAACAAAAGTTTTCAATTATTCATAATACAAAATCAAATATTGATATTATTGAAGAAACAACACCTATTATATTACATAAATGTAAATCAATTAATAAAGCAAAAATTAATAATACTAATGAAATCAATATTCAATCACTTATTAATCAAAATGAATTATTACGTCAAGAGGATGATGTAAATGTATTAGAATCTGTAAATAAAAAAGGAATAAATGAAAAAAAATCAATAAGATCCACATGTATACATGATCATCATGTGAAATTTTCACATTCACATATAAAATTTTTTCCATCATTTATAACATCATCATCAACAACATCACCAACAGTATCATCATCATCATCTTCAGTATCATCAAAAACATTAAAATCAATAATTACATCGAAAAAATCATCTTCTTCATTAAATAAACTTAGTGAATGTATACCATTAAAAAATATTTTTGATTTACAAACTTATTCATCTATTCCAACATTGAAATCATCAATTAATGTACCTAACACTATTTCGTGTAATATTAATTGTAATGTTATTAAGACTACTAATATAAACAATAATACATCTAATAGCACCTTAATTTATGAAGTGAAACCATCATCCTCTATAGAATATTCTGATCATATATTACGTGTTCCAGTACTTGGTAGTCGTCAATCTGGTAAAACTACATTAATTAAACAATTTATTCATTGTATTGATCCTGGAAATCCTCTTCCTACTTGTAAACATCCAGATTATTATGATCCAATGATATCATTTAATGATCGTATTTATTATGTACGTTTAATAGATTGTCCACCAATTGATAAAAAATTTCCAACTAATTCTATTGAAGAATGGGAGAATTATCGTGGTTGGGGTTTAAGAAATGCTTCAGCATTTATTTTAGTTTTTGATGTTAATTCAGAATCATCATTTCAACATATACGTCAATTACGTGATCAAATTGTTAGTGAATTTAATGATATACCATTATTATTAGTTGCAAATAAAATTGATTTATTACAACAATGTACAAATGGATTTAATTCAAATAATATTATACCATCATTTTATTCAACATCTTCTACATCATCTTCAACAATCACTATGCCAATACAAGGACAATTACAAATGGTTCATTTAAATAATTCTAATTATCGATTTAATATACGTCGTGATATAAATATGATTATTAAAAAACAATGGAAACGTACTATACTTGTTGAATGTTCTGCTAAATATAATTGGCATGTCATGAATGTTTTCAGAGAGTTAATGCGTATTTTAGAGAATAGAGAACAGGCACATAGACCTACTGCAGCTAGAGCAGTACAAAATGCATTAAGAAATAATCAATGTTTAATAATGTGATTTTTGTCTATTCTTTTCTCCTTATCCTTAAATGTATACATGATAAACAGAAATACGGCAGATAAATAACAATATAGACGTACTACAACGACGACAATTATGTCAATGAATTGATTATTTTTTGTAACCCTCTTGATGAATGATGACGATGATGATGATGATAATGATGATGATATAATCAATTAAAAAATCGTGTTCACGTGAAAAAGGCCAGTTCTAGATATTTTGTGTTATTTTTCAGTTTTATTTCTGCTTTTATTTCTTTTGTTAATTTTTTTTTTAAATTCTTACTTTTTTTCCCCTAACTACATTCACTAATGACTAAGTTTATTGAATTAGACAAAATATTCCATGCATTACAATGAATGGGTTATAGCAACTTATTATATATATATACATAAGATTTATTCACTATGAACTTATTGATTAAAGAAAATGAAACGGAACAAAATATTACGCACATTAATTCAGAGAGTATCATTATAGTAAATATTATTACGATTATAATTATAATTATAATTCTTATTATTATTACTATTATTATTATTATTATTATTAGTACTATTACTACTGTTATTGATATTGCTGTGCAATACTAGAATTCATATAACAAATAAACATTATTAATTGCATCTATTTATCTATTCATTTTAGTGTTCATTTAGTGTTAAATTAAAGAGTTTATATTTTGTTTATGAATAACGGAATCATTATTGAAGGACATAAAATTTGTAACAGAAATGTAAAAATAAAGGAAATCAGGATTGTGAATAGAAGATAAAGTTTCACAGTTGAATAAATGAAACTGAATAATGGTATGGGAGATTAAAAACGTAAATTTGAATGTTAGCTGATCATATTTTTTTAAAAAAAAAGAAGTAGCGTGTGATTCAATAATGAAATATTGAATTTTGTATAAATTCAATCTAACGAATGTTCACTAAATTAGTTATATATTTAAATTTTCAGATGAAAATGAGTTCGAATCACGCGAGCGGGATTGCGGATGCGCACTGCTGAGCTGTCCTACAATAGGACGAATCGGCCGTCAAGTGCCTCTAGGTTGTCAATGGTGGCCTAACATCAATCCGGTGCATCATCTCAACTAAAAACTTAATAATCGCAAAAACCTCATATTGATAATCCTATTAAAGTTATTTTAGATTAGAAAAGTTATTGATATATTGAATACTATTGCTTTTAAATACATGTTCTAAATTGGTAAAGCTGTTAAAATAATCTCATTTTAAAATTTTCTACTGTTTGATTAAATCTTCCCATTGATGTTCAGGATTCCACTGCTAGCCACTATCCATCTTTGCTTATATTGCTAGTGACTTAAGACAATATCAAGATAATCCGCACGGGATATACATATGTCAATAAAAGACTGATCAATTGCAGTCCTAAATATCAAGGAGAGAATTTAAACAAACAATACGAAAGTGCGTCAAAACGTCACCCCATTACATAAGCTAGAGGTTATCTGTGCTCAATAAGTAAGTCGATAATGCGAGGGCGTTTGAAACAAATGGTAGTGGGTTTGAGTTTCCAAATGAACATTGACTCTAAAATGCAGGTACATTTAGCTAAGAAGTCCTGAATAGGACGGAACGCGCTTACTGGATTTTATTCGAGCTACTATTCATATTTGCTTATAATCTCCGTTTCTATTGATTACGATGACGTCTTTGATCCTATGAACTTTGTGATCAGTGTTTTTTTAACCGAACCTTAAAATAACATTCGTTTAGAGCGCTTCTATTCATTATGTTATATAAAGACTTTGATAGTTGAATTCATAGATCAAATAAAGCTAGACCACCATGGAAAACGTGCGAGCACTGGACGGCCGTTTCGTCCTTGCATGTGACTTCTCGGCATTGCGCATCCACAATCTTACTCGCGAGATCCGAACCCAGAACCTTCGATCTCACACGCAAACGCTTAACCTCTAGACCACTGAGCCGGCATCCAACGCTGTTTATTTTTGACTTCAACCAATGCATGAAAAAACTTTAAATAAATCTGGTGTCTTGGATACATGAAAGTATTTGGAAAGGGTTGAACAACACTTACTTATCTATTGATCATTCAATAACTTTTAATTCTTTATATTTTAAGATTAATGATTTATTTCTATTATTTTATTGATGAATAGTTAGTTTTATTTGGAAACTAATTTTAAATAATGAGGCATCCACAATTATTTTATGCGTGTTTAATTGTTGTTCTGTCAAACACTAAACTCATCAGAACTATTTTAATCTGAATTTGTTTAATTTAATTTTTATACTCAAACTACCAATGCTACAAATTAAATGACCGATATCAGTTTTTATAAAGAAAATTTACGGTGGGTCAACTCGCGTTCGCGTGCAAGTCCGCTAGGTCCTGGGTTTGAATCCCGCTGGCGGGATCGTGGATGCGTACTGCTGAGGAGCCCCATAATAAGACGAAACGGTCGTCCAGTGCGTTAAGGTTTTTCATGGTGGTCTAGCTTTATTAGACTGATGAATTCAACTGTAAAATTATTAGTAGATTATTAACTCACGGATTAATATTTAGAAATCGGATTACATTAAGCTTTGCGATACTTAAATTTGTATGAATTCAACAAGTTTTATAACACTAAATTTGTAAACGTTTTCCTGTTCTTCTATAAATAAGCGAATAACTTTATTCTAACAAAACCGATTACTTAAAGCATTTTTCTTTACTGTATCTTTATTTATAGTTGATGTTGATGAATGAATACATGTTGTATTGATTCACATAAATTCAATTACTAATGAAGCTTATCAGATTAAATAGTAAGGTGTCAGTTTAAAAATAAATTGAGTAGTGTTAAATCATTTAAATAATCATTTAATAGGATGTAAAAAGGACTAAAGATAACTACTGAAATCGAGGGCTCCCAAATTTCCTAGTACGGACGAGAGTGGGGAGAGTCATTTCTCCCTCTCCGAATGCTCTCACATGGCCATGTGCATACAGCCACTGCCAGGGAATTCTTACCCTCTGTCTTCTCGCGGCATTACTGTTTTTTATGTAATCGAGAGGAAAGAAAGCAAATATACGTCACTTTAGGTTCGTTAGTAGATATGGAGGATCCACCCAGGGGAGTTGGAAAACCCTGATCGCAAACCAATAGTGCACACGGAATCGAGGATCCTGAGAGAACAATTGTCGTATGAATCACTCGTTGACCACCGGCTACCATGAGACTGCATCTCCTTACGTTGCTCCACTACCTTTTGGATCAGACCCTTACGTCAAAGTATCCGGGTGTGGCTCCCGAAGAAAACCATCTGTTTTGGTTCGCGCACCTGGACAGTATCCCAGCCCTTACACAAATCGTATAATTTATGTGGTGCATATGTATTTAGTGCCCCGTTGTACAACGTTTATGTGTTTAAATAAATAAAAATTTTATCGAACCTGCTTGGAACTTATGTCTGTTCACCAATAACTCAACTCACTACTTTTATGTCTTACAGTTAGTAAGATACTTTTAAAACAGCAATATGAGACCTTCAAGTTTCACTTTGATTTCCAGGTGATCCATGATATAGGATGGTTTTCAGCGAACATTATTAGTATATTAGTATTTAACTGCCTATTTGTATGGTTGTATCAGTTCTGGGAATTTTGTTTATCAAAATTTAGATTCTTCTAGATAAAAAAGGCCTATTTTTTTAAAAAAAACTAGTTATTTCTGAGTCATACATGTCTTGACATTAATTGAGGAACTAGAGAAAAACATCTGAGATCACACAGTTATAAGCACCCATAACTCTACATTAAACCAAACTCAAAAAAACTTCTGGTTTCTCAACAATCAATATATTTTCAGATCAACAAATTAAAATCTAAGACTATTGTTAATTGTTTTTTAAATTTCTATACCCGATTACTTCATTGAGATATATTTAGCTAATTTAAAGTTTGACCATGGAATAATATGAAAGTCAGAATCTTCAATACGAACGTCAAGGCAGTTCTACTGTACGAGCTGAAACTTGGTGAACTACTACAACCACCATCAAGGAGGTACAAGTATTTATAAATAGTTGTCTACACAAGATACTCAACATCCATTGGTCGAACACGATCAGCAAAAGCCTTTTCTGGGAGAGAACAAATCAGCTTCCAGTTGAAGAGGAAATTAGGAAACGACGATGAAATTGGATAGAATATACATTACGCAAATCATCAAACTGCATCACTAGACAAGTCCTAACTTGAAATATTGACTGGAAGCGGAAAGAGGAAGGTCAAAGAACACATTACTTTGGGAAATAGAAGCAGATATGAAAAGGATGAATAGGAACTGGGAGGAGCTGGAAAGGATTGCCCAGGACAGGGTTGTATGGCGAATGCTGGTGAGCGGCCTATGCTCCTTCACAAGGAGTAACAGACGTAAGTAAGTGAGTAAGTAATAGAATAATTTCGAATAAATATTTATATTCTTCATTTGAAACAATCTTATTACAATACTTTGAGCAACTGAGTTTATTTAAATGATTTACCAGACTGACTAAATATTTGACAGTAAAATTACATAAGTTAAAGTATTAAAGTAAAGATGAATTTCTTTTTTCTTTTCTTTTTTCTCTCTCTTTTTTTCAAAAAAATACTCGTTAACGAACATTTTTTATCGGCTTGAAATAAAACGACATTCAAACCGCTTGTTTTCTGGCAATTTCTTCTTGATTTTTCTTTCTTTTCGTGTATCTAAGATCAAAGTCATTTGAAAATAAAAGTGTAATGTTAGTCTAACGGATAATTTATTGAAAATATATTTTAACTTTCATTTTAATTCTGGCAAAAAGAAATGTGTCGTTTGTTTTTCTTTGTATTTTTTTTTCTGTAATGAGAATATCTGTACAGTAATGAAATGTGTAGTTTCAATTCGACTGGAAATGTCTTTCTTGATATAAACAAAAACTAGTTAATTTGTAAGCAAAGATGAATAGTGGCTAAAAGTATTACGCGTA